GTAGTAATGTGTAATATCCTTGGTGTAGCCTAGCCAAGTTCAAAAATGAGCGCTTTCCAACGCTCTGTTTTTAGAGTTAAATTTATTACGATACGACCAAACACCAACCAAAGCAGACTAATTTATGAAATCTTGGAACCGAAAAATACCAATAACCGTTTAATTTATATCGGTTCCGGTTCTGCCTGCCTTACAACAAGTCTGTTTCTGCAAAAATCACAAACCAGTCGGAGCGAATTTCATTGGTTGAAAACAGTCAGAAAATTAGTTTCAACTAGCGAAATTCACTCTCACACTGGTTTGTGATTTCTTCACATTCTAACATTTCTATGAAATATGGGTTTCGTTCCGGTTCCGGTCCGCAAAAACAAAACTGTGCCGTTCCGGTTTTCGGTTCAATATCGTTCCGATCCAGGGGTCCTATTTTCGAATATTTTTGCATACGAAATTTGATACGATTTCGAATGCTCCCCATTTAATTTACATTGCTGTCAGTCAAATTTCGTGTACGAAATGTATTCGAATGGATTCGAAAATTGTACCCCAGGGGTGCGATTTTCGAAACCATTCGAGTACATTTCGTACACGAAATTTGACTGACAGCAATGTAAATTAAATGGGGAGAAGTCAAATTTCGTGTACGAAATGTACTCGAATGGTTTCGAAAATCGCACCCCAGGTCCCTGTTTCAAATCTCTCGACCACTACGCCAAAGTATCAGTGATGACGTAGACAGCGTGTCGTTTCTCGCCTTGACGTAGGGGCACCACAGGCCATAATTTCGCTGGCTTTTGCTCTATGCCCCCCCCCCCCCAACCCCGAAAAGCACACTGGATCCGCCACTCTCCCTAAAGTAGTTGGTGGGAACGGCCATTATTACCATTCTAAAACAACCCTTTTTTAGATCTTGTTTTTAGATCTTCCTCTTTGCTATCAAAGGATAACGCACCATAGAGCGCATGGGACTTTTGCACTCTATGGATTTTGCCCATTTTTTGATATGTTGTAGATGATTTAATTCCCAACAACTTTTAAATGGGACGAAATCTTGTAGGTATTACGGTCTTTGAGATATGAGTGAACTTTTTGTGTGGAGAGTATACGAAATACTGGGTTGCGTGTTTAGAAATACCACTCTGGGTGTGAGAGTAATCCTAGAGTAGCTCTAAACCGTTCATAAATGAACAGGTGCTTACTCAGAGCGTTACGCTGAAATCGTTCAGAAATCGAAAGTTGACGTGCCCAGAGTGCGCCCAAATTACCCCACCCAGGGACTGGGTTAAAAAACGCCCCTTGGTTTTTACCAGGTTTAACGCACTCGTATTTATCATTTATCATTCAAAATATTGACAGATTCACATATTTTACGTCACTAACAAATGTCAACATTGGCTAAGGCCAGGACCGCACCTGCGCCAACACTGACCCCAGTGCGTTTCCGGCCTTAGCGTATGTTGATTAACACATTTCAAAGTTTTCCTGGAAAACTAGTGAAGAAAAAATTTTGAAACTTTTTGCATGTAAAGAGGAAGGAGAGAAGCTCTTTTTCCCAAAATTTTAAATTCTTTCTGTGGAAAATGACTAGGACATGAAAAATCTTGGAAATCAGCCTTCAATACCTGAATTAATTGAAAATACAGTGTCACACATTTCAAAATTTTCCTAGAAAACTAGTGAAGGAAAAATTTTGAAACTTTTTGCATGTAAAGAGGAAGGGAAGAAGCTCATTTTCCCGAAATTTTAAATTCTTTCTGTGGAAAATGACTAGGACATGAAAAATCTTGGAAATCAGCCTTCAATACCTGAATTAATTGAAAATACAGTGTCACACATTTCAAAATTTTCCTAGAAAACTAGTGAAGGAAAAATTGTGAAGCTTTTTGCATGTAAAGAGAAAAGAGTGAAGCTCATTTTCCCAAAATTTTAAATTTTTTCAATGGAAAATAACTACATGAAAAATCTTGGAAATCAATCTCTGATAACTGAATTAATTGAAAATACAGTCTCACACATTCCAAAGTTTTCCTGGAAAACTAATGAAGGAAAAATCTTGAAACTTTTTGCATGTAAAAGAGGAACGGGAGAGACTCATTTTCCCAAAATTTCAAATTTTTCCACTAGAAAATAAGAATATTTAGTGTTACTTCAGAGCATTGTTGAAGTTATATTTTTTTAGGTCAATTTTATGAAAAAGTTTTGTTGGGAGTGGAGTTTTCTAAAAATCTGGTATTAACCAGACTTTCCCGGTTTATATACATGTTAGAATGAATGATAAAATGGCTAGTTTCATTAGCTGACCAAAAGATGACTCTGAAAAAAAACAATAAAAACACTCTGCCAGAATCCTTATCACAACATCGAACATATATTTGCTATCTAGAGATAAATACTTTATAAACTGTCGATAATAGACTCTTCTGTGTTAATATATCAACAAAGTTTTGCTAATCCAGCGCCATGTATAACTTGTTACACAGATATCTGTTTCCTGAAACGTTAAGGCATTTCATTGACAGATAGATGGCACCTTAATCGGATTATTGCCGGGATTTTCAAATTTGTTTATTCTGGATCTGTTCTTCTGCAACATTAATATTTGCTTAAATTGGGTACAAATGAACTGCGAATAAAAAAAAAAGTAAATTCGATGTGTTCCAGGGCACTTGGATTAGGATATTTTGATCGTGAATTAATTCAGAACAGAAATAAATGATTTTAGTTGAATTTTATATAGTTTGGAACCAGTTCTAATTGAATTAAGAACAAAAAATATAATAAGTTCTATGTCTTCTAGGACACTAATTCATTTGATTGTGATTAGTTCAAGGTTTCATTTTACTGGTTCGCAATCAAACAATGCAAAATAAGTGTTCTAGATCACATTAAATTTATTTGTATTTAATTCAGAACTGATTCAATATTTTAATTGCTGTTCCGAACTAGAAAAAGTCACGAATTAGTTTATTATTATGCTTTACATTACACGAAATTATTGTTCTAGAACACCCAATTTATCTCAGTTGAAATTCGAACGAATTAGTTCTTAGGGTTCCGAGCTGTTCCAAACTTGAAAAAATCATAGTAGAGTGTGTTTTTTTTTTAAAGATAAAAGTCAAACTGACATTATGTTGGCAATACAATGTAAAATTGTCAATGCTTCAAATTTTTTACGTAGAAAAGGCTTGTGTTGCCAACATAGTTACTAAATTTTTGACTTGGGGAATTATCTTTAAAAAAAAAAACGCACTTTACACTCCTCGAGAATTCCAAATTAGTGCTCCCAGGCACAATAAAGTTTCTACTCTTTGTTCCTGGTTCATTATTAGTTCCAGTTTGACTCTGAATTGTTTATGTTGCTGTTCCAAACACAAATCAGATCCTAAATTAGTATCTACGATCACATTAGATTTACTCTTATTTGATTCAGAACATGATCCGCAATAGCACTTTTGGTTTTTTGTTCAACTAGAATCAGTTCCATTTGACCCAAACCTTACTCTATTTATTCCAAAGAGTAAAAAATAATACAATAATACAATACAATTTTAGAGTAACCAAGGAAAGATTACACCTTTATCACGAAATATAACCCCAAAGCTGATAACTTTATGACGTCATCAGGAGTGCCTCAACATGATTCTAATCTCCATATGCGTCATCAAGTTACCCATTACTAGACAACCAATTAACTTTAGGGAGGCTCATTTTCCCAAAATTTCTAATTTTTCCAGTGGAAAATAATAACAGAAAGTATCTTGGAAATCAACCTCCAATAACTGAATTAACTAAAAATACTAATTGTGAATTATTCAAACAGTCTACGTTAAGGCGAAAAATAACATGCTGTCGACGTCACAATTGGTGATTTGGCCCGAGGGGTAAGGGGAGGATTTGTTACATACAGGCCTTATGAAGATAAGCTATCTTATATTAGTAGTGTGTATTATCCTTGAAAGAGAACAAAGCCTACTTTGAAATGTCAATGTTTTGACGTTTGTTGTCCTTTCGAACTCGTATAACCTCGGCCCTCCGGGCTCATGGTTAAAATAACTTTCAAATTAGTTTGTTAGTGAGGTAGAATATGTAAACCTGTCAATATTTTGACTGATAAACACCAGTATGCCTCAAAGTTCATCTTTCAACGGAACGCTCCATATCTCAAAGACTGTGATACCTACAAGATTTCGTCCCATTCAGCCCAAAAATTCTATGTTGGGTGTGCGTTATCTTTCAAAATCAAAATTATAATAATATTTTTCATCATAAATGCATATTCTTAAAACTGCGGCAGCTAGCGCAAACACCTAACGACACCGTTAATGACGTCGGCAACGGTGAAACACCATATTGACCTTGAGTCCAAAAACCGATTAGCAATCCTGTAGTAGTGTGTAATAAATATCCTTGCAACGGATTAGCTATGGGCATTTTATACTGATTTGTATTTGCCTGGATCAATCTTCTATACTGATAAATGCTTTGGAAAGAGGTGCAAATGACAATGACAATATACACCGACTTCTCCAACAAAGCGTTTGCCAATGTCAGTCATACAGTTTTAATCAGAAAATTGAAGATACTGAGCATTTCTGGCATCCTACTCTTCTGGATAGAGAGCTACCTCACTGAAAGGGTCCAGATGGTAATGATAAACAACTTCTTCACAAATCCCAGGTCTCAAGGTTCACACCTGGGACCTTTACTTTTCAACATTTTCATCAACAACATTGTATCTTACACTTCAGGCAGGAAGTATTCCTATTGGTCCAATATTTTGGCGCCAAAATATTGGACCAACTTCCGGCTATCGGATTGACGGAAAAACGAAGGCATGAATCAAAAAATTCAAATGATAAAGTTAGGAGGGGATGACATTTATAATAGATCACTCTATACATTTTTCCAAAGCCTGTTCTGAAATATGTGGCTTTTTTGTTGGAACTGAATTTCAAATGCGGCAAACCACATTTAAGCTAAAACCCAGTTATGATTTCTTCTAGATTTCTTCGTTCTCAAAAATCCTACCTGCCACCCAAAACCCTGGAAGCCGACCTCCAGGAACTGTTCAATCAAACCCTAGGCAAAACCGAGCTGAATCTTAAAATCTCAAATCTCGACCAAAGATTCAAATTATTCGCCGCTTGCGCTAACAAATTCAACCACAGCATCCCCAATTCGCAGCTGCACCAAATCGAGACTTTGGAGGACGTCGTCAAATTTTATGCGACCCCTGTGGATACTCGCACGCCTTTGGATAGAATGAGGAGCATGGAGCTTCCGGAGAATCTTCACATACAGTTTGAGTACCAGAGATTTCATCCAGGTATAGTATTCGGATTGGTTGTAAACAGTGTATTTCATTTTTTGGGTTTTAGATACCGATACGAAGTTTGGTGGTGTTACTGCCTTTCCGGAAAGCTCAACGTTGGTTACAGGGCTCAAATACAAGGACAAATACAAGGGGCATACGCAAAAAATTGAATCTCCTGAAATTTAGCGTGTTTTCTTTTTTCTTTGTAAATAAATTTATATTTTGATTTTTAAAATATTCTTGATAACCATAGAGTCGTTTGTAAGAGTGTTTTGACGTCATCACTTTGAGTGCACTCTGGGTGCGCGGTGCGCTATTTCTGAACGCAATTGGGTGTTGTGGTAAATGAAATGTCAAACTCGAATTTCTAAACGCAACCCCAGGGCTGTGTTCAGGAATGACTACAGCCAAGCCAAAATTGGCATTTTGCGTTCGATTTCGACTCCAACCTACGTGGTTCGGCATTACAGGTGGAGGGGGAAAAGTAGGTTTTGGCATTAGCATTGCCGACCTTGAACGCAACCCAGCACTGCCTGCTTAAAGCCTAGTACTCATAACTGCGAAATTCGCATTTTTTTGACATTGCTTTGACAATTTGACGTTTGATACAAGCATAAAACGTCAAATTGTCAACGCAATGTCAAAAAAATGCGAATCTCGCAGTTATGAGTACTAGGCTTTAGGGCATTCGTTTGTGTTTGGCAAACTAAAGAGCGTTAGTTGAATTGGTGACGTCACAAACCCTGAAATATTTTGCGCACAGTTCAGTGCGACACAACACAACAAACATCATTTGATGAATTTTATTTTAAAAGACAAGTGACTTAACTAAAATAGAATTCTATTTATCGTTGCAGGTGCCTGCATTATCGGCATTTTGGGATTTTGTAGGTTATGTTTGCGGTCTTTGGTCTTTCCAGAGGAGATTTCGTTCCAATCGTCATTTCTTATTAGAATTCCTTTTATTGTTGTCTCTAGAATACTAATTCTGAATCCAGTGTAGGTTTTTTTTTATGTTTGTAATAAATCGGACAACGTTAACAGTTACTCCATTCGGTCTGATATTCGCGTTTGTACTAAATTTTACTCTGTTTACTGATCGTACTACTGTTCTAGAGTAAATAGAGTAAATTTATTCATTAGAAAGTTGTATTTATTATTTCACTCCACTCAAACATGAGCATAATTACTCTATTTGTTATATTTGGAGTGCTCTAAGTAGGTAAATCGTTCAAGATTGTATTCTGTATACAAATCGAATATTGTAACATTAAAGAATTGATATAGTGTCAAGTGTTTTACAACGCCTTAAATCTGAAACTGGTTCTAAATGAACTGCGAATAATAAAGAGTAAATTTGATGTGTTCCAGGGCACCTATATTAAGATTTTTTGATCGTGAACTAGTCCGGAACAGGTCTTTAGAACACAAAAAAAACCATTTGGAACTGGTGCTAGTTGAACTCTAATAGTTTGGAACCGGTTCTAATAGAAATACGAACAAGAGATAGAGTAAGCTCAATGTGTTCTAGGACACAGGATTTAAGACCGTGATCTAGTTCAGGGCTTCATTTGACAGTAAACGAGTTCGGAACAGGTTTTTGATAAATTTTTAGAACAGATTTGAGCTGTTTTCACGCGATGGAACTGGTTCGATCCGGTTCGAATAGGTTCGGACCTGTACATTTTTACGATGAACCAGTGACGTGACATTGAAAAAAGTTCGAACCGGACTCATGGCTTGCTCTCCGTTAACCTGACAGTGGTTCAAACCTTACATTTTCTCGCGTTCACAAGTGATGACGTCATCTACAAATTGGTTTAAACTATAGTTCGAACCATTCGATCTGCGAGAAAACGCCTAGTTATGGAAGTGGCACAGTTTATACCGTACAAACGGTATAAACTGTGGAAATAGTGTGTTTGAATTATCGCGGTTCTGTACTCTCAACCACAAGGAAAAAGGGTATAGTTGTATTCCATTCAAGAGTTTAGAACACCAGAGCTCCTCGCTTCGGTGTTAGTCGACCCCGATTTGCAAGGAACAGATGTGCTGGCTTTCGTGAATTATTCTAAAGAAACAAGCGGAAGGTCGGCTTTGCAAAAAAAAAGCTAATTCGCAAGACTGCGTCCCCTCTAATTAACTATTTAACATTTACTATATACTTAATTAACTAATTTGATAAAAATGTTGTTCTAATTCTTTGCACTCAGTTCAAGTAAGAGTAGCATCAAGAAGACCGTGGCTCCATACAGTGACGTCATGGCGATCCTATTTTTGATTGGTTCTTTAAAATCCTAAACATTCATATCAAAATGAACAAGAATATGGCGATGAGGACTTGCCTTACTTTTGGACTCCTATATTTTTAAAATGAGCAGGAATATGGCGAAGATTTATGCAGTCACTATTTAGCTCCAGATTTTCTAGCGCCATCTATCGGGTTTGAATATGTAACGCTGAAAGTTGACAGTTTGAAGGTAAACATCTGCGTCGTCAATCGTCAAGGTAGACGCCATTTTTCTGATTTCCTATTAATTTTGGAAAACCGACCATCAAGCGCATTTTTCCATTTTCTCTGTCTCCAGCTTATTTATTAATCACCAAAAGACTGACCTAAAAAAGTGTAACCTTTCAAACAACAGGCCTTGAAGGTAAAACCAAATTATTTCCTAATCAAACAACAACATAATGGAAACGGCGGCGGCGGCGGCGGCAGAACAACCATCCGAATCCGAAGTGTATATCGAAGCCCCACAAGTGAACTACGCCCCGTACAATTTCGACAAGACAGCCTTGGAATTGGCCAGAGCCCAATGGGCAAACTACGCCGACCAGCACTATTTGAAAAACTGCAAATGGTCCCCCGATGGAACTTGCCTGCTCACCGTGATAAGGGGCGGCGGGATGAACGTTTTCGAACTGCCCAGCGAATTGTACACTTGCGATACCCTGCTCCAAACTCGTACCATAGACGCCCTGACCCCTGCAGTATCGGTACAGGAAACCGGGCTTATTTACGATTATGATTGGTATCCTGGGATGAACAGCGCTAATGCGGCCACATGCTGGTAAGAATCTCTGGATTATAGAGTTTATTTTACTTATAAATCTCATATTTATTGTATTTATGAAGCAGTCAAGGAGGTGGAGTTCATCAGAAAAACATGCAAGCAATTAACAAGCCTTTATTGTTTAAGAATTATTTAAATTGTTCAAGGTCAGAGATGGGGTTCAATAATTTGTAATTAATTTCGTGGGTTGTTGAATGGGGTTGTTTGTTTTCACTAATCTCTATAAATAATACTGTATTCTACTTTATTAATGATAAATTGATAATTTATTTAAACTTAGGAAAAACTCTCTAAAACAACTTTTGACAATATTAACATTTCATTTCGGCAAGGGCTGAATTTATAGTCGTTTCTTGGAGGTTGTGAGTTTAGGATGAACACTTGCTACTATTTGACACACATGTGAATGTGAATTCCTCAGTGATTTCTAAACGTTCAAGGCGCGAGAAAACCTTAAAAAGCAACTATAAAGAACGAGGCACAATTAACATTGAAAAATTTCAATATTTGGAAGGTATCATAATTGCAAAAAAAAAAATTGAAATGTAAAGAGGATCGTATGTCTGTGATAGCAGATATAGCTTATCAAAGTACGTAGTTCCTGCTATGCTATGCATAGAAAATATCCCCACATAAATTTTCTTGAATATCTCAAAAAATACTAATTCGATTTTGACGTTTTTGGGATCTTTTTGTAGGCATCAAACTCCAAAAAGATCAAAATTGAATTAGTATTTTTCGAGATACCTATTCAAGAAAATCTATGTAGGGAAATTCCCTATGCATAGCCGGACCTACATACTTTGACAAGATATATTTGCTATCACAGACATACAATCCTCTTTACATTTCAATTTTTTTTTTCAATGATGATACCTTTAAAATATTCAAATTTGGTTGAAATTTACGGGGGCCCATTTTCAATGGTAATCAATCAAGATGTTAATTATTGTGCCTCTTTCTTTGGATTTAAATTAAAATAAAACAGAACTAGGGCATCCAATACCGGGATACCAAAAATTCGGTATCCCAGGATCCCGGAGTTTTTAGCCCGGTATTCCGATTCCGGTATTCTCTTTTCAATACCGGAATTTTCGGGATCAATGTTTGAATTTAATAATACCGGTATTATCGATATTTTCGGTATTATCGATATTTTCGGGATTTTCGGGGTTGTTTCGTCTGCTTCGCAGACACGGAGAGCAGCGAGTCGCAGTGGCGTTCGCCAGCCGGAGTGCGCATGGCGCCACTCGCCAGGCATGTGGCGACAAGTTGATTTGAAAAACAATTATTATAAGGGTTTTAGGGTAGTGTACATTTACCTATTGTTTCGTATGCGTATTACATTTACCTATTATTTCGTATGCAGTCAGTGTGGAATTTGAAAACTAAAAGTATCTAAGGTAGGTTCTATTTCTTAATGTGACGTTAGCTTAGCTGCATGATGTGTTGAACTTATAGAAAAAACAACATGGAAAAAGACGCGGACAAGACTGACAACAGCACATTTCGTGATTTTCGTGTAAACGAAAAAAAGGCCCATTGTTCGAAGTCAGTGTGGAACTATTTCTTAAAACAAACAAACGCTGAAGCGGCTCTATGCAAAGAGTGTAAAGCTATTTTAAAAACCAAAGGTGGATCTACCAGAGGTTTGCATGTCCACTTGGCTAGTAAGCATCAGATTAGACTTCAAGATATCAATAAACCATCAACTTCAACTCAACAAGGAAAACGGGCTTTAGAACGAACTGATGAATCAATCGCAAGTCCTACTCCTAATAAACAACAAAAGTTGACAGATTTTTTTCTTTCAAAAAAAGATGCATCGCTTGAAGCTGTGCTGGCCCGAATGACGGCAAAAGATGGTATTCCGTTTCGAGTTTTTGTAACATCTGAAGATTTGTGAGATGCTCTGAAGGCAAAAGGCTTAACTGTGCCTACCTCGGCGACTACCATACGCAATAAGGTTTTTCAATACTGCGAAAAAGTGAAGAATTTTATTCGTTCACATAATAGCAACAGCTAAAACTGAGGGTAGGCGTTTTTCTCTTACATTTGATGAGTGGACCTCGGTCTCTAACAAACGCTATATGAACATAAATCTTCACAGTCAGAAGGGCATATTCTGGAATTTGGGACTGTCACGTATTTTTGGATCAATGCCTGCGTCAAACTGGTCGAGGCTCGCTTGAAGCTGTATGATTTGTCCTTACAAAATGACATTGTTTGCATAACTACAGATGGGGCTAGCGTAATGACAAAAGTTGGCAAACTGATCAGTCCATTTCAACAATTATGCTTTGCGCATGGTATTCAGCTAGCTGTAATAGATGTTTTATATAAGAAGAAGCTTGAACAACCTGAAATGGAAGAGCAAAGTGAAGTTGACATTGACATCTTGGATGATGACGATTGCGGGGATGGTGACGGTGACTTGATCTTTGAAGATGATAGATAGATAGATAGATAATGTGCTTTATTGTCATAAAAACGATACAAATTGTTTTGTGGACAAAGCTAGTACATACATATAAAAATCACTTATAAAAGAATATCCTCGTAAGATCATTGTAATAGCAGTCTAAAAACTAGATTTCCATAACAATCAAAACAAAAAAAATCACAAGCATTAAAACTAAAATTAGTAATCACAAAATACAAAACCCAATTATAAAATTGGAGACATACACTTCATTGAATATGAACATACAAAATAAGAATATAACATTCAAAATGCTGAAGTCAAACAATGAATAAACTAAAATGCAAATGAAGAAACTGAATGTGATTTGACGGAAAATTATAACCTTGGTGATTATATCAAAGAGGTTCGAAGACTGGTTAAATTATTTAGACTATCACCAAAGGTCATTGATCACCAACAAAAAACAGTATTCTTCAAAAATATGTCAAAGAAATGTATGGCAAAGAACTCATGCTCATCTTAGATTGTCGGACTAGATGGAGCAGTTTATATAATATGCTTAAGCGTTTCATTTATATTTCTGAAGCCTCTTAATTATTTTTCTTATGACTTTAAAAATGCCAATTTTGATTTGGTTAATGAATATTTTCTTTCCTTTGATTGGCGATCCATTATGATGGACGATCTAAACGAAACTGTTAAGAGCTTTTACTTGGTACTGTTCGACTGCTTTAATATGTTTGTTCCAATAAAGGCACATTCTTACAGCGAGAAATTTCCTATCTGGTTCTCTAACGAATTGAAAAATCTGATTTTTCAAAAGAAAATTGCTCACAGACGATTCAAGCGGTCGAATAGAAGGTTGGATTACTTTGCATTTAGTACACTTCGGCGAGATTGTAAAAACCTCACCAAAGAGTGCTATAAATTATACATAAGTGATACTGAAAGAGCCATAGGCACCAATATGAAAATTTTTTGGAACTTTATTCACTCCCAATCTAATCAGGGTACTCAAATTCAAATTCAAATCTTTATTCATGTTTTTACATATTCAGTATGTTTACAATCGTCGACAAAGTAGTAAAATGATACATTAAGACAGGCAAAATACAATGTTTACATGAATATATAGTAATCCTACAATCTAATATACAAAACCGACACTAGTTAAAAAACTTGAGAAATAAATTCTTCAAAATTGTAAAAGGCATTACTTATTAAAATTTCCTTAATCCTATTTTTAAAATTTTTATAATCTAAGATTTTTATGTCATCAGGTAACACATTAAAAAATTTTATTGCCCAGTAACCAGGTGACACCTCTTTAACCTCCAATAGGCAGGAACGAGGTTATCTTTATATCTAGTATTGTAGTCATGCTTGTCTTTGTGGCACTCAAAGGAATCCAGTCTTTGTTTAATATACAAGAGATTCTCAAGAATGTACTGAGATGGCAAAGTTAGAATTCCGAGTGTTTTAAAAGCATGTTTACACTCATCTCTGAAACGAAGTCCAGCTAGGATTCTTACTGCCCTCCGCTGTAGACTAAAGGCTCGACTGGTGTCAGCAGCATGGCCCCACACAAGAGTAGCATAAGAAAGATGCGAGTGAAAGATAGAGAAGTATGCTATTCGCATTATGTCTTGAGTGACACAGTTTTTGAGGTTTCGCAGAACGAAGATGCCTCTACTTAGCTTACTGCATAGCTCATTGATGTGGGGTCCCCACTGTAGTTTTGGATCAAGCTGAACTCCTAGAAATCCAACACTGCCTGTCTGATTTATGTCCCCATTATCTCTCATTGAGAATACAATTTGTTGTGTTTTTCCAGTATTAAGCAGCAGTTTATTCATTCTAAACCACTCCTCGGCTCCTTCCCGTGCCTCCCTGGAAACCTCCAAAGCCCTATCAAGAGCGCCCGCAGAGAAAGACAGTGTTGTATCGTCAGCGAATAGTGTGTACTTGGCTTTGTTGTCAATGGCTGGTAGATCATTAATATACACTAGAAACAGTATCGGACCCAGCACTGACCCCTGCGGGACACCGATGTTCATTACTCGTTCCGATGAGTCCACCCCAGAGATTCTCACTACCTGCACTCTGCCTGTAAGATAGGATTGAATTAAGTTGATACTTTCTGGGCAGAAGTTATAGTTTTTAAATTTTTGCAAGAGGATGCTGTGGTCGACACAGTCAAAGGCCTTGCTAAGGTCACATAGCAAGACTGAGGTGAACTCAAGATTATGAAATGAATCTATTATATATGAGACCAGGTCCAGGATGGCCAGCACTGTATTCTTGCCTTCCCTAAAGCCAAATTGGCTTTTCGAAAAGTAGTTATTATTTTCGAAGAAATCAACCACTTGTAGAGACATACATCTTTCAACTACCTTTGAAATTATTGGCAGTAGTGAAATTGGTCTATAGTTTTCAGGTAGTTGAGAGTTACCTTTTTTAAAAATGGGGGTTACAACAGCTCTTTTAAGAACTTGAGGGAATGTATTTTCTTGAAAGCATAAGTTTATCAGTTTAGTAAGAGGGCTTATTATAATATTTTTTACAGATTTAA